ACCAAAACGAAATGAGTTATGTTTTACGAATGCAAAATTTTTTATTAGATAATCAATTTTTTTAATGAGAATAAATGAGATCATTTTGCAATAGAAGGATGAATTAAGTGCAAATGATATTAGGAGAAAAAAACATGAAATGAGATATCTTTGTGATGAAATATCAAAAACATGATTAGATGTGAAAGTGTGAATAAAAAAGTGAAAATGAAAAGAGAGTCAGTGAATCTTGGTTGAGAAAAGAAAAATAATGAAAAAAAAAAGGACAAAGAAAAAGAAAAAAAAATAGAAGAGGGAATAGAAGGAATGATGGGAAGGAATAAAAAGGAAAATGATATAATGATTTGGAGTTGAAAAGAATTTTATAAATAAAAAAGAAGGTTTTTTTAGCATTAGCATTTTGCATCATAAAAGAAAACATTTTTTTAGGATGTTGTGTTTGTATCATTAGAAGGGCATCTGCATCATTTTTTGTTCATAAAATTTATTTACATCTTTTGTAGAGTGTATTTGCATTTGTGTCTTGGTACGGATATACACATTCACATCATTAAAGTAGAAATTTACATATTTGCATTTGCATAATTGTGATTTATCATCATAGTTATCATTTTGCAAGTTTTGGGAAAAATGATGTCTTTCTGAATGTTTGAGAAAAAAAATTTTTGAAAAAATGATTGACAAAAATGAAAGTGAATTTTAAATAAAGAAATTTTAAAATGATTGAAAGATTTGAAAGAAATTTTCTTTAGACAAAAAGCAATAAGATTTTTTTTAGATATGCAAGATGAGAAAATTTAAAGACTTCTGAGCAAAGATGAGAAAAATTCGTAAGTCTTCCAAGTATAATATTTAAATTTTCAAAGTTGTCATGCCTCTATTTAAAGGAGCATTCATATGTATTGAGATTTATAAGATCTTCAGGCATAGTCTCTAAGTCTTCCGGGTAAGACTTTTAAGTCTTTCAAGTTGAAACTATTATAGTTTTGAGATTTATAAAACCTCAGAGCAAGAGTCATAAGTTTTTCAAGTTGAATCTATTATAGTTCTAAGATTTATAAAATTTTTGGGTATAGTCTCTAAGTCTTCCAAATAGATTCGTAAGTCTTTCGAGTTGAATTTATTTTAATGTCGAGATTTGTAAGATCTTTGGGTATAATCTCTAAGTTATCACATAATATTTTAAATTTATAAAGCCTCTGGTAAGAGACGTTTTTATTTTAATTTATTTTAAAAAGTTGTAGAGCCTCTAATGATAGGAGTTTTTTTTAAGAAAAACAAAAAAAATTTGAAAAGAAATCCAAAATTAAAAAAATCCCAAAAAAATCAAAATTAAAAAAAAAAGAGTTTAGGTAAAAGGTTCAAACAAAATTGTTATCTTGCCTTATTCTCAATTCTAAAAAATGTGAAAAAAGAGTAGCTGTAGACACCTAATTTTATCTGGATTATTTGAAATGGATCTCGATTTGTATATATTTGGATATCTCAAGTGAGTTTAGGCTTGAATGGATTCGATTGCGTGAACCAAATTTAATCTAATTTAATTTATCAATTAAGCTTGATGTTAAGGCCTAAAACCCATTTGTGAGGCCCAAAGTTTCAAACCCAATTTTGTTAAGTTTTAATTATCTTTAAAAAAAATAAAATTAAAAAAGATGAAGGAACATAAACTGGAAAGGTGTTGTGCATGACACTATCCAATCCTCTTTTACTTAGCCATCCTATCAACCACTTTATCAGCCACCCTTACCATCTTCCTTTCCCAAGATCCAGCTCCTTTTGATAATGACAATTTACTTATCCCCTCAAAAAACTTAATCTAAACTTGCAATAGAAAAACCAAATCTTCAAGCAAGTTGAAGTCACAAGAAATCAAGAATTTTTTTAATTTCTAATTTGTTCTATAAAGAATAACCACTACCATCAGAAGAGGGAACAACCACTACCATCAAAAGAAATAATTTTTTAAACACTAAAGACTCTGCCAAAAACCATCCTCACCACCACTCGATTAGCTTTTTTGTCACCACCATTTCTCTTGTAAGCCGAACCACCATAGCCCAGTTTGACTCACCTTAAATTTTTTTTTTATGATCAACAAAAAAATACAAAAAAACTATGTAAAAAAAAAAACCCCATTCGATTAAATAGCCAAGAAAACCCATTCCCACAAAAAGCATAAACCAAAAAGAAAACCTCATTCCTCTTAAAGGAAGCAACAACCATACAAAAAAAAAAAAAACAAAAATCATATGAGAGGGTTTCAGTTTAGGGTGATTAGGGTGTTTCGTGGCTAAAATTTATTTTTTAGAGGAAAAAGAGTTTGGCCTTGGGGGCAAACATAGTAAAAAGAAAGGCTCATCAGAGTGGCAAAGCTTAGGCTTTTGGAGGTAAGAATTGTTGACCTTCAACCTAGATCTAAGACTTTAGGGTTTTTTTTTTTTTGAAAATCACCTAGAAAACAAGAAAATGGAAGAAAAGAATATTTATTTGGTGAAATTTGGAAAAAAAACCACCAATGGGCGGTGATTAGTGAGGGTGATTGGTGGCCCCGATACCTGAATCTAGAAACAATGAAGGTTGTGGGTGAATTTTTGAAGCTATAAGAGGGGTAAAGAGAGAATAGGTCTACTAGAGAGTGTGTTAAAGAATAAAATGAAGGCTTTTTCTTGTTATATGGCATTCAAAACGATGTAGTTTTGTTAGGGAAAGATAGAAAAGAGAAAAAAAAGGAAGTAGTTGTAAACCATGATCCAAAGGGCTGACTCGACCCACGCTCGCTATGAACCTGCGTCCCATTGGTCAACCCACTTCAACAACCCAATCTTCTTAGGCTCATTTTAATGGTAATTGGGCTTCTAGTGCTTGGATTTGTTAGATAAAATTTTGGATTTTAACATCAAAGTTGAGCTTGAGGTATAATTTTTATATATTTAGGGCTTTTTATTTGGATGGTTTTACATTATTCATTTCAATAATATTTTTATAAAACATGCACATCTCAAAATATTTACTAATGCTTATAGAAATAAAAATTCATAAAAATTGTTATAAGTATTTATTTTTCTTTTATTGATGTGTGAAAATTTTTACTATTAAATGATTCTTTTTTAAAAAAAAGATGAAATGAATAAAAAATAAAAATTTTACCCGATGATGAGATTTTAAGGAAATTCATGTAGTAATTCTTATAAAATCTCTAGGTGAGAAATATTTTTAAATACTACCGACATATTGGAGTATTTATAAAAAATTTTCAATACAATAAAAATTTTCCTTTTCTTCTAAAAAAAATTCTAAGAAATATAATAAAAAATCAATAAACAATTAAAAAAAAGGACATGTACTTTAATATTTAACCATTTTCCATCGTGTATATATCATTTAATTTTTTAAAAATAAATATGACCCTTCAAAGATGGAATTCTAAGAAAATCCAAGTAATGATTCCTAAAAAATCCTCAGGTGAGAAAAATTCTTTTTTTATTTTTAACGTACTAAAACATTTTAAGAGTTTTTTCGATAATAAGGTTCTAATTCATTTTTTTTTTAAATAAAATGGATTAATCTTTAAAAAAGTAAAAAAAATTAAAAATTTAAAAAAAAGGAAATAAAAGGGTGAAATGATAAAAGTGGAAATGAAAATGACTTGGTAAAGGTAGAAAGAGGAATTATTTTTAAAAATCAAAATTAAGATTTTTTTTGTCAAAATCAAAAGGATAATATATAATTAATTGGAACCATCTTAAATGGATATTGTGGGGGTACTAATCTTTCCTCACGTATAACCGATTTTCGAACTTAAATTATTTTGCAGACTTTAAAATTATCTTTTTAATAAATTTTAATTAATTGTAAGGTTTTATTAAAATGGTAAAGTTTTAATAGATGATATATCACACATAATAAAAAAAGATTGATGACGAGTTCATTTATTTTTAAATGACATCTAGCGGCTTTAAAACTATTACGGCAAGACTTAAATCAATTTAAAAATGATTAATCCGAAATAAAGTTCAATCGAATTTAATTTAATTAAAACATTTTAATTGGCCCAAATCAAAATGTTCAAATTAAGTATAAAATCGAATACACTCGAATTAATTCAAACAAAATTTAGTGTCTACACTATTTAAGAAATATTATTTAATATATTGATAGTAAAATATTTTAATTTTATAAGTGAGATTAGGATAGTAATATATGTTTTTTTTTAAATTAGTTTTTTTTTTTTTTTAAATATATATTAAGGGATATATGTTATCATTTTAATTATGTTTATAAAGTTAAAAAACTCTAGTATTATTTGATAATTTCTCAAAATCAAATCTCACTTTTTTTTCTCTTTCTTATCGTCTCTGTGATGCTAATGTTCAAAGAATAAAAATAAAAATGAATAAAAAAATGAGACATCTTTTTAACATTTGAAATTTATTTTGATGGATTATTAGATTTAAAATTTAAAACATTAAAAGATACAAAGAATTAAAATTATTTTCGATGACACAAACAATTAAAATTTGAGATCTACAACTAAAAATTTTCATGTTTTTTGGTGAAAATGAAATATTTATCCTTGATTTTTCATTATATTTGATTTTTATTTAATTTTATCAACTACGATGTTCTTTAACTCATGAAACTAATTCAATTATTCCTATCTACTTGATGTTATTACATCCTATATTTGTGAAAAAAGAAAAAAAAATGATAATTTGAGAAATAAATTAAAAAAAATCTTTTGGAAAAAATAAATTTTAAGGCAAATGTCAATTTATTTCATCAAGGAACCGAATTACAATCAATTTGGATAGCATTTAATATTGGGATAGGACACTTCTCTAACCACAAAAGATCTTACTATATTAATAATCCTTCTTGAGCAAGTATATGAGATGTTTTGTTGCCTTTCCTTGTTATACGTTGAAAAAAACCTTAATGTTACATGAAAAGAGTGGCTAGCATTTTGCTTTTAAGTGAATATGAAATAAAAACAATATAAAGCCTCTTATTACTGAGACGATCATCGTGTGTTTGTGTTCCTCCTGTGGTGGATTAGGCCGAAGATCCACAATGAGGCCCGTTGGAGATACGAATCTCAATCTCTAGCAACCATACCAAAGGCAATTCCTTTTTTTTTTTAACATGCCACCAACTATAACGGTAAGTTATATCACTCATCATCCAACCAAAGAACCAACGGCTTTCTCAGTCGTACTAAGCTAACGGCTTCCATTCTATTTCTATTTCTAATTTCTATCAGTCAGTCTCCTTCCATTATTTACTTCTTCTACCTCAAACCCTAACCTTCCATTCACAACTTTAACATCTCACTTTGGATTCTCACTTCTCTTTTCTCAAACAAAATGGCTACTCATGTTCTTGCTGTTATCCTCAAAAACCCATCAAACGACGCCCAATTCCTCCTCCTTAAGCAAAATCCTCCGCCTAAATTCGGCCAAGACGAGTACGATTCTTATGTGGATTCTGATCTATGGGACCTCCCTTCCACGCTTCTCAACCTTCAACATAATCATTCCAACTCTGGGATCTTTATCCAAGCCGCCCAATCCTTCTCTCAGAATATTGATTTGACTAAATTTGATGTCCAATTGGGTCTTAATCGGGTAATTTTTTTTTCATTTAAAATGAATAATTTCTTTTGTCTAATTCCTAATTGTGGTTAACGTTTTTGTTTTCTAGGTGTTGGAGCAAGTGAGTTTTAAGGTGAGTGATGTAGGGGAGTGGACTTTGTTTAAGTATGTGGAGGAAGCTGAGTTCGGACCTGGGTTTCCAGTTAATACTGTGTTTCTTATGGGGAAATTGTTGGATGCAAATCAAAATTGTCATGGTGTGTTTCTATTACTCCTGCTTCAAGCTTAATATTATTGGTTTAATTTTTTATGGACTGCTTGCAATTCTTGTGGAAAGTCTTTGCTGATTATAAGAAATGCACAAGAGAAAGATTTCGGTGAAAATATAAAATGAAGATTTTTAATTCTTTGATTAGCTTGACCTACAAAGGGGGTTCAGGTGCGGTTATAAAAAACAATTGGTTTGGTTTTTAGCTGTTTTTTTCAAATGAACTAGAAGGAGTGAGTTTGTTAAAGCTGTGAAATTGATCAATTTAGGGGAGTGCCAAACTAGGGCAGGTTTCATTTTTCATGATTACTAAAATGTTCATTACAATGTTAATGTTGAAATCCTGTGGGTTGTGATTTTTTGATTCTGTCACCAGAATGTGCTGTCATTATAAAGCACAAGCAACTGATTGTTACAATATCTGCTGCTTTTTCAGGGTTATGTAAGTGGATGTCTACTGAAAGCTGTCTTAATTGGCTTCTGGAGGTGAAACCATGTAATGATCGTGTAGGGCCTTTGGTAGTTGTTGGTCTTGTAAATGATTTAAAGCAGTCTGCAGCAAGGAAATTACCACCCACCTTGCGTTATCAGGTTTGCTATGTTTTGAGCGACCATGATCTATCAAAGCATGCTGTATTAGCTATAAGCAAGAATGAAGTGTAGACACTAACAATTTAAGGGTTTTATGACCTAATTTTATGGAAGTATAACTTCTGGGGAGTCGATTGATTCTTAATTACTATTATTAGAAATCCAGCTCTTTATTTTCATGCTTTGAGGAAATTTGCTCCATCAAGGCAAGTTTCTTGGAGGGATGATTAAGCTGTGCTTCTCACTCTTTCCAAGTAAAAAAATGAATATGAGAAGTGCAGTGCCTACTTCTAGCAGAATAAGATTCATTTGACAAAGAGTCTCTTTCATTTTAAGTGTTAATCTTAGGATGCAGATTTATTTAGCCTCTGATAACCAGTTGGTTACAAGAGTTTTTCCAGAAGTTTATTCTAAAGGCTTGCTTTTATGTGCACCTATTTTCATAGTTTTCAACTCAATATATTTTTAAAAAGTCCAAATTTGAAGTTTATGGAGCTTATGTTTAACCACTAGTGTGCTACCAGATATCGGTGGTTCATAGTGTTAGAAACAGCAGAGGACGATGATGGAGTTGTCTATTCTCTGTTATGTACATCAATTATGCCGAAGTCAATAACAGTGATTTTATTTTTGATCTGTGTGTGTATGTTTTGGGTTGTCCTTTATAACAAATATTTTCTTGATTATATGACATGTATGCATAATAATTTCTGGATTTTTAATGGAAGGATTCCTTTATGAATGTAAGGGCTGTCAAACTCATTTGTTACTGTAGCTTAAATTAAGTCTCCATAGGAATACTTTCTTGCCTCTTGGAACAAATATATATATATGTATGTATATATATATATGTATATATTATATATATATTAATATATGTATATATATTACCTTATAAAACAGGACTTGGCTCAAGATTGTCTATCTTATTTTACCGAGAAAAAAGGATTGATATTTTTAAATTTCAGTGGTTACTTTAATTCAGAATTTAACATTAAAATGCCTTTGTGGACTCAGATTTATTCTCATTTTCAGGAGTATCCTCCTGGAGTCATACTTGTACCTATGCGAAGTAGGACGGTGAAGCCCTTCCATACCACAAACTTGGTAATATTTGCGCCTGAAAATGTTTCAGATACATCTGAAGACTGTAGCTTTGTTTCTCATGGAGATGCCTTGATAGTGGATCCAGGATGCCGACATGAGTACCACGAAGAGGTATGAAATAACCGTTTGTTACCTTTGGTTTTGCCCCACTTCCTTGAACCAAGTCACCAACTTTTTTTATTCTGAGTTACCTTTTGCTATGGTATCGGGTTGTCTTTGGAGTATGTTGTCCAAGTTAATGCCTCACTTACTTGAAAAATCAAAATGTGTGCTTGTCCATGAATTAGTTTAAACAGGATTCTTAGCTGGATTTCCTAAATTATCTCTGAAAAATGCAAAAGATGCTAAGCAAGCTTTTAGCTTCTTTGAAAGTTGTGAGATGTCATTTAAACTGGTCTTTCAGTTCAAAATAGAAGTTATTTTCCATTAGCATCTAGTAGGATTAAATAATGTTCATTTTCGTAGTTTGATCATGTATGGGAAATCTTGTGCTTTACAGTATGGGAGACATAGCTTTTTCACACAGGATTGGAATATTTCTAGAGCAATTCCTTTTTCTCCTTTGTCAAAACAAATTAGAAGGTAGATACTTAAGTAAAAAGGGAAAGGAAAATGGCCTTCTAAAACTGTGAACCTCTGTTTAGCTTAGTAACTACTCCATATCATTATGAAATGGTTAACTTTTATAAACAACATAATAATTTATATACTTTCTTGTTTTATGGTTATCTAGCTGTATGCACATTTAGTACTGTTGACATAAATCTACTTTATTCAATGCCTGTAATGTTAGTCCAACAGCAGATGTAGGCTTAGATATTTCATTGTTGTTATTTTTCATGTTTTACTTATAGCTTAACTTGTTGTTGACATTATTGTTTTATTATAACAGCTCAAGCAGATTGTTGCTTGCTTGCCAAAAAAGTTAATTGTCTTTGTTACTCATCACCACCGTGATCATGTTGAAGGTCAGTTTTCAAAAGTACTTCTAACTGATACTACGGGATTTTGCATTAGAGCATTCTTCAGTTTTCACCATGATCATGGTTTGTTGCAAGGCACTTATCTGAATTTTTGATAGAAAGGCAAATCCTTGCCATTAATAAGAGAACAAATGCAATATATTCCAGAAATCCTTCTTGCCCAGCCTGTTGAACAATAAGAGAATGTATGAGATAAATCTGGAAACCCATCTATCCCACCTTGTTGATCATTTTTAGAACTTAAAAAGGAACAATATTCTGTTAAAATGATAATAAATGGGGAAGATATGGATGACACAGTTACTTTTTGTAGATTATTGGGAGCTTTTTAGCATGTAGTTCATGGTTAAGTCTGCCATGTGTAAGGGTTGTTCCCATCTTTTTACTACATTTCATTACTATTCTGGGGAGAAAAGAATATCCTTAACATTGAAATATAGGAATGTGATCTATGCCATTCTAGAAGTAAAGACCCATTTGATCTATTTGAAATGATCTCTTCTAGATTTAATTGTAAAATGATATAGATATAACCATCAAATTACGTAAAGTGAAGTTTGATCGAAGGTAAAATGGTCAAAATAAATACAGAGTAGTTCTTGATGTCATCTATGTTTATTTTATTGATGAAAAGGTAGTAATCTAATACATATGGTGGTTGAAGGTCTATTGAGCAATGGAAATGAAGGGGAAGTGGGCATTGCATAACAAAGAATAGTGAGGTTCATGTCCTAATGCTCCTAGTGGAATCAATTTAATTGGACTTCTAAATAGGCAAAAAACCTATCTTCTAGTATTCAGTGTCAAGCTTTCAATGGGAAAGTAGCATGCCTCTCGAGTAATTGTCTCATATGCTATATTAGTAAGTTTAAAATTGTTGTTCATGTTCTTGTCATTTATCTCCCTCTCCAGCTTGTTTAGGCATATTGGACTTGGTCTGTTTTTTTCTCTCCATTTAACCCACACAAGGGCTTCAAATTGATAATAGTATGCTTCTTAGTCTTTAATAACTTTCTAGGTTATGTTGATCCATTTAATAGGATTAAGAAATGGTGTGAATAAACATGATGCCTTATTTGTTATTTTTTATTAAGAACAAAGCATCTATTCTCTGAAGTACATAAAATTTAACTTCTTCTCGTGGATGACTATGAGGTCAAAAGTTATCTCCTATAATGAGGTCCATGAAGCTGCTAACCCTACTATTTTATTAATTTTAGGTGCTTCTTATCCTTATTCGAAAAAGATGTATTTGGAACCATATCAATTTCCATGTTATTTCAAAATGCTATATGATCAATTGAGGAATTGCCATTTCCTTTTCAATTGAGATTATTTATTGTGAAGTAACATGCTCTTAGTTGGATATCTATAATTTCAAATTTCTTGTCTTTTCTATCATGAAAAAGGTCGTTACTGGATATACTGATTTAGGGTTTATTTTCAGGTCTTTCTATTATCCAAAAATGCAATCCTAATGCTATGCTGCTAGCACATGAAAATACCATGCGTCGCATTGGAAAAGGTTAGATTGTTCGGAATGAAAACTTTTTATGTTTGACTTCTTATAATTTTTTTAATAGGTAATTGGTAGCCACATTGCTTCAAAAGGGAGGACCCAACTCTGAATCCACTTTCCTCAAACTATTTATAGAAAACATAAGATCACTAAACATAGATTTCTTTCTTTAATGTGGAAGTCATCTTAATAGGTAAATGCCACATCCTAGCAAGATGGCTCGTTGAATGATTGTAACAAGTATTGATGCCATTTAAGATTCTTTTTACATATAATAATATTAATGATAATCTTGACCTACATCATTCTTCCCCTTCAAGATCATGGTTTAGTTGTGGTTATATGATGACAGGTGACTGGTCTCTTGGCTATACCTCAATTTCTGGAGAAGAAGATATTTTGGTTGGTGGTCAAAGATTGACCGTCATTTTCGCTCCAGTATTTCTCATTTCACTTTTGATCTCCTTCAAATTGTTCATTTGTTTTCTTTTTTGATCAAATGGCTAGCTTGCACTCTAGACACCTTAGTGTTGGTCCTACCTTAACACATGTTCAAGTGCTACAACAAAGAATAGACAACAAACTAACAAGTTCTGATCCTACGGACTTGGTTTCGTGGGAATCATCACAGAAACTTGATGTGACTTAATAACAGCTACAAAATTCTAATTGAAATCAGATTGTTTAATAAACAATTAGGTTTATCTTCTTGAAATATTTAAAACAAAATCTATCTTTTTATTATGAGTTAGGACTTTTTGGTTGTAATTAAGACATGTTAAGATTCTGTGATAACTCCCATGTAGGATCAAAACTCCAAACTAACTACACTATGAACGTATAGGGGACAAAACAGTTTTTTTGAAGTTGTTTCCACAATAATTTTCTTGAAAACTACCTTGCATAATTGGAGTTGTCATGCTCATCCCATGTTGTTTGGGTCAAAATTTGAATGAGACTTATAGGACAATGTCATTGATTATCTTATGTTGAATGAAGTATATAGTTAGAACTTGTTTAGTAGTGGCATTCTATCGGAGGTTTGTCTAATGAGTATTAGGAAGACTGAGTTGCAGTTTCTTGTTTGCCATCTCAAGATCATAGTGGTCGTTATCAACTAATACGCCATTTGCAACAGAATATAATAAGAATACTTAGTTGTAGGTGCATTACTTCGCTAGTATGTGGTAGTTTGCCATCACCAAATGGTTACATGTTCACCTAATAATACAATGAATGTCCCCAAAAGTGCCTTTTGTTTCAAGGGTTTGTGATTATTGGTGTATTTTATCTTTTACATGAAATTTGGATACACAACCTGCTCTTTTTTCTCGATCTAAGAAAAGCATTCTTCTTAATTCAGGGACATACAGATGGCCACGTGGCATTGCTTGATGTTAGTACTAACTCATTAATTGTGGGTGATCATTGTGTGGGGTAAGATTTTTGTAGAAAATTATTGTATTATATAGCATACTAAAAATAAGAGAAGCTAAAAGAAGCTGCTTGTATACTTTGTGCATGAAGAGCAAGATTTTCATAATTCTATTGTTTGTATTCACATATGACATTAACATTGGCGAGATGAGTGTTTGCATATGTTTATTTTGGTGGAAAAAAGGGTATATATTACTATTGGTTAAATTGAGGTAGTTTTTGATAAAACTGAAACTAAAAAATGAAAAATAAACACTAAAATTTTATGTTGAATTTGTGCTGTAAAAATTGTTTGGTGTAAAATTGAAAGTTAAAAAGCTAAGTATAACTAGATTGAAAGTTAAAATTAAACACTAAAATTGCAAGTGCTGAATTCTAAAAAATTATGTAATTTATATTTTCAACCTATAGTATATCATATTATACATTATTATTTAAGTAGCCAAAAATATCATACATTATTCTGTCATATAAAATTATATATTAATTTTTTTAGTCAAGCTCAAAATAGTTTTGGGGGTTATTACTATCAATTACTAGGTTAATATATTTTTCTTAAGTAACTTGAGGGGCAGAAAAATTATTTGTGAAATAAAAAACTCATTATCTTGATCATATATTTTAAAACAATGAATCAAAATTCATTAATCTCTAGGAATTTAAAATTCATATCTCATTGTTCTATCAAAATCATAAGGAATAAAAATTAATCCATCTCAAGAAATTTAACATTATATCTGATCGTTCTTTCAAAATCATATATGATTGGATATTTTACTTACGAGAGTTTTATTTTTGTAAATGTGGGTCTCATTTGGCCATCGGCTATAGGCATATACCTTTTTCCATTCCATAAACTTTACATCCTTGCTAAAGTTTGAACCAAAGGCCTTCAAGTTGAAAGCCCTGAAGTTCTAACCATTAGGGTTTTGAAATGAGAGCTTAATTATAAGGTTATTGACATTGCTGTTTAAACACTTCAAAACACATGAAAGTACTCAATAAAAAAATCCAACAAAAGAAACAAATAGAAAGACCATAATTTAGTGGTTGTTGAAGTATCAATGAAATTTTGCTATAGTAGATGTTAACAAGATTTTGCTAGTGTTTCTTGCAAATAAGGTACACTAAGGTACATGTTGTAGGATTAAAAGAAATGTTATATTTAGAAAAGGTTAGTAATTAGTATTTAACTACAAAATTATAAGGTTATTGACATTGCTGTTTAAACACTTCAAAACACATGAAAGTACTCAATAAAAAAATCCAACAAAAGAAACAAATAGAAAGACCATAATTTAGTGGTTGTTGAAGTATCAATGAAATTTTGCTATAGTAGATGTTAACAAGATTTTGCTAGTGTTTCTTGCAAATAAGGTACACTAAGGTACATGTTGTAGGATTAAAAGAAATGTTATATTTAGAAAAGGTTAGTAATTAGTATTTAACTACAAAATTGTCTGATAGAAAACATTTTAGAGCCATCTTAAGAGAACAAATTCTACACTCATCCATCATAGGCCCTAAAAACTTAATGCTTTCATTTCTTTTTTAACTTCAAAATCATTCTATAAGTGGCTCCACGATAAGTGACCAAATTGAACAATTATAGCATTGCAAATTTCAACTTTCATCACTTTAAAAGTGAAAAAGGGGCGGTGGGGAAAGGACACAAAATTTTGTTGATATACTTATTGGAAATAGCTGTAGAGGTAGGCCTTTTAAGGACTTTAATTTTTTCACAAATGACAACATATTGCTTTTTCTTTCAATTTATCAAAAATTTAATCTTGGTTGATGAATAGAGCAGTTCCGTCCGGCTGGATGTGAACTCTATGGTGTGGGTTAATTGACTTATGTCCATCCAATCTAATGAATCTCATATGATTTGTTAGCTATCATTTGGGATTTGTCTGTAGCTTTCAATGGATTTTAAGATACTAAAATGGTCATCCAATTATATTCCTCCTCTACAATTGGTTGAAGAAGTTGTGTGGATTTACTTGAACGATGAACACATTTAAATGATTTGATTCTGAGGCTAAATAAATGTTCATAGGCTTTTCTCTTCTTAATTCTTATTTTCTTCATGGAACTGTTCATAGGCTTTTCTCTTCTTCATTCTTATTTTCTTCATGGAACTCCCTTGCTAATACACCAATTGGTTTGTTACAGTCAAGGAAGTGCTGCCTTGGACATTACTTCTGGTGGAAACATGACTGTAAGTGCATAGAAAAGCCCTAATGATTTTTTTCAGCCTATTATTTCAATGGTAGAATACAAATCAGAATCATTATCTCATATTTCTGTCTTTACTATTGATATTTAGTTTCTGTTTGATTTTATTTTACTAAGCTTTAGCTAAAGCTACTTAAATTGGATTTGAAGTTAACTGTTATGGGAAAACATAAAAGGTATATTGAGAATGCAATAGTTGCCTGGGAATTTATTTTCTGTAGTCATACCATAATAAATTTGATAGCTGCCATATAGTAAATGTATTCTTGCATAAATTACTTCTCTGTTGCTTGTTTTAGTTATTGGGAAGTAATTATGCAAGATCAGAGATTAAGCAACTGAAATTTAAAATTTAATTCCCAAAAAATTGGATCACACCATTATATTGCTATGTACATTCATACTAGCGTCAAGAAAATCAAGATCATATCTAAAACCCTAATTGGTGGTCATCTAGAGTTTTTGATCCAAGAATCTTCAAGAATCTAGCTACGTTGTAGCAAACCTTCAGTTACCCAATTGTCTAGCCTTCATGGTACCCGCACAAATAATTAAAGTGTAAACCTCTTGGAGAATTTGGGATAGCCAAAGCCGAGACTTGGTGCTAGCTAGGGTTTTGGCTCTTAACCTTTTGTGATTTCTCTCGACTCTTGAGATGAATTACACTTAACTCTCCTACATAAAGAGGGCGGGAAGGCTCGGGAGCAAATTCAGCAACCTCTTTATCACAATCCTATTCCAAATAGGATTGTATTTTGCTTCCTTATAATTTGGCCTCTTGGACTTATTAATTATTTCAATTAAGTCCCTAAAGTTCAAAACTTTATTTCAATCAAGTTCAACTAGATTCTTCCATTTTAATTTCTCAACTTAATTATTTTGAATGTGTGACCCACTAGGTCCTTAATATGTTGGCAATAAATATGAAGATTGTAATCCTAATGTACTCAGGATTAGATCAGTTAAACCCCTTTATTTCATCATTAATTCTCTAATTAATCAACTTCATATTTTTTTATCAAGATTGACATCTAACATGTATCATGACCACCCAAATATTAAGAAGAGTAAAATAGTTTTGATTGACCTCTCTATACATGGTCTTATCACATAATTCAATCCTTTTCATCACTATATCTTGGCAATGCTAAAGCATGGTTTAGTGTCTATTCTATGTGCCCCAACCATTATGGTTCTTCATTTACCCAAAGCTTTTAACTCTTTAAATGAGTTTTAAACTACTCCAAAACCTCATTCCACTTTGTCCAAAGATTTCCCTAATTAACCTCTTCTCAAGAACAGTATGATATTTGTCGGATCACCCTATGTGAGCAATCCTATCATGAACATTACTCTAATTCCATGTGATTCATGCTATACCTAATATCCTTCTTATAGAGTGTCCTTGGTTAGGACCGTGTAAGAGTAGTATCAAAGTATAAAACTTGTTATGCAAGCTATATAATGAACTTCAAGTCAAAGGATCACTTATTTAAACATCACATTAGAATATTGCCATAAACACTTAAGTGGTATACCATGTGAAATTCTCATAATGAGTCATGTTCAATGAATTTGTTCTTGTAACAAGCACTCAAGTATACTTTACTTCAACTTATGAGATCTATTGCTTACTTCACAAGTAAAAGTATAAACATGCATCAACTTCAAAGGCTTATATATCAATATCTATCTTTCTTGATAAAGCATCAACTAGGAACAGTTTAGGAATAATGCTTTTATGCAACAAGGATCTCATAATTACAATATTTTTGTAATTCCCTTTGCAAAACATATTTATTCCGTGAACTTTATCTTTTATGAAGTAAGTAATGAATATAAAAATATACTCAAAGATAAAGAATGCCTTATTATATAAAACTAATGCATAATATAACAAATTATTTTACATCAATCCGATTGGTCATAAGACATACACTAACATTAGTATTAAGAATTTTTCTTTGTATACTGCTTCTCTTTCTAGAGAATATTCCTTTATGCTACCATGTTTGTTATCAACTTCTATCATGCATGCATATTCTACTTCCTTCTACATAAAATAAATGGTTCTAGCTCAGTTTTCTTAATTCTGCATCATGGCTGGAATGCAGCTCAGAGCAATTGGGGAAAGGGATATTGGTTTTAATTAGAAACTCCTCATGCATGATAGTGATTGCAACTGTTTAATTTTTTTTTTATTTATTTTGGTTAAAGTAGCAGTTTCAACTGATTTCCATAGACTGAAAATCATAACACAAAAATAAGAGGAAAAGAGAATTAAAAGTTATCAGAGCAATAATCTTATATCTTCTGCTTACTTGAGCCTATTTGTAAAACACTGTTTCCAAATGAAGATTTTTACTTTTTATGCAGGAATACTTCCAAACAAGTTACAAATTTATAGAGCTTTCACCACATGTTTTGGTTTCCATGCATGGGAGAGTCAATCTGTGGCCAAAGAACATGCTTTGTGGATATCTTAAGTATGAAACAATCTTTACTCCTTTATTAAAATCATTTGGAAATCCATCCTGGAACCCCATAAATCTCTTTTTATTGCTAAACTATTGACAATTAGCATTTCTTATCACTGACTTGTCTTTTCAAGTTTTTCTTTTTGTCATGGTGACATATCATCGTAGGTATTTTAGAGAAAGTTATGCAGTGCTGAGTTAGCTTGCGAGCAATTTTTTAAGCTTTTTTTTTTTTTTGTTCAACTGTTTATATGAGGTCAATAATTATTGATAGTGGCCAATTTGATTCTCTAGCATAATGAAACTACAAACAACAGAGATTTTTTTTTTTTTTTTGCTGACAGAGAAATTACTTCTTTCTAGGAACCGCAAAAGTAGAGAAGAAAGCATTTTGAAAGCCATAGAAAATGGAGCAGAAACACTTTTTGACATAGTTGCTAATGTGTATTCCGGGGTTGACCACAGTTTCTGGATGGCTGCTGCATCAAATGTCAGGCTACATGTGGATCATCTGGCCTGGCAGAAGAAGTTACCAGAGGTATGCTTTGCAAGGTTTTAGGATAAAATTTTTTCCATGCATATGATCAATGCATATTTCCATAAAACTGCTCCATTTAGGTTGGTAGTCCTTTTTCGTCATATCTGTCATGTAGGCTCTTTGTTCTTTTCAATTTGCTTTGGTTATTAATGTTGTATAAAATCAAATCAAAATAACTCAAATTGGGTCAACTTGTACTCTCATATGGATTAGGAAAATGTTAGATCAATTATATATTTTAGACATAGTTGTGGGAGGTCTTTGGTTATACATGAATCTTCAGCATGCTTTCTGCTGAAATAGTAGTGGATATCGTTCTTTTTCAGGTCTGTCTGAATTCACTACTTTCACAACAGTGTTTTCAGGAATCTTGACACCATGATCAAATAAACAATCAAGTAGTTGAATATTTGAAATGATTATTTGCCTCTGTTAGTTAGCTCATATATTTCATGTCTAGCTGATGCAAAACATCCTAGAGATGCTTGATGCTGTTTTGGGAAGAGTAAAGCTAAATATAGATGGCTCTTGGTACGATTAAAATGGGCTTCTAAGGTGTAACTACTAACTGGGTTTGAGGCCTCTCTATTGCCCTGATGTTTTAAATTACCACAACAAAGAGCCACCCCAGAGAATTCTTGAAGAGGACATGAGATCTGGGTGTCCATAATTGCTGCAAGAGCCTTTTAAGAGTATCATGTTTTGATTAGGATTAGCACATTTAACTAAAATAGAAGATATTTTGATACTGTCAAAGAAAATGCAATATTTTTAAATTTCCTTAAGGAAAATTTTCAATTGGAAATATTAAAATAGCCCTATATGAAATTATGCATAAGATTCCAGCAAGGTTTAACTTATTATGCCTTTCGTTAAGCATGTTGAATGTTATGTATCTCAGTAACCACAACTATATGACCAAATGTGTGCCACATATATTATTTTATACAAGAAAATTCTTTTATGACCCCTTTTTGTGAAGGAATGTAGTAAGTTAAAATTTAAAATTTTGAAACCTGTAAGTCTTGAATAAATCATGTTACTGTGCATATATACAGCAATAATGGCTGTTAATTAGGTTAAAATTTTGTCGAAAATGAAATAAGCTAACTTCAAAATATTTATACCTGAAACCAACTGAATAGATTTGATCTTCTATTAAAAAAGTTTTAGTTTTTTTGATTGGTTATTCACAAAGACGAATCCTTTTCTACAATTTTGCTTACTGTAAACACTAAAGCACTGACATGAGTGTCTGAAAGCTGATCTCTTAATCCTTTAAACAACCAATTGAAAAACGAAAAATGTTGTTGTGATCCTATGTAACCTGGTGTTCCCAATCAACAAATGACATGCTTATTTATTCCATATTGACTTACCCCTTAAATTATGAGAGCTCTTTCTTTATTTTTGTCTTTCATCATCCTGCTTAATTTCTCTCTTCTTAGCTGTAATCTTCATCTTTTTCTTTTCTTTTTCTGTATCTACATAGTTGCTTACAAAAATAGTCAGTTACAGAACAATCATGGCTTACCTAGTGAAAGAAATTGCCCAAACAGATGATGCCACCAGGAGGGTTGCAGTCTAGACTGCTGCTTTCCTGTGATCCCTCTCTTTTTTATTTGTTCAAACAGTCTGTGTAGCCTATAACTCGTAGTGGTAAATTTTAAGTACTATGTTAATCTATATGTGTAAAGGAATGATAAAATTATTTTGATTAATTTGGTTGGTTCTCATACGAATCATAAAACCCATAGCCAATATATACATCATTAGTGGCCCAAAAAAAAAAAAAATCAATTACACTGGATATGATTTAGTTATTTTTGAAGTCAATCCAAAAGGTCCTGGAATTGATTCATTTTGACAAAATTCAAGCAGTTAATTTGGTTTCTTTGAGTTCACTTTGGGCTTACTTGCCCAAAGAGTAGAGGCACATGTACACATTCTTGCGAGCATGCTTACATACATGCATCAATAAGTATATATGTATGTACATGCCTGCCTGCCTGCTTTCTTAACACACAAGACAGTAAAAAGTCACATACATCCATAAATATTAGCATTCATTTGTATGTGGTTGCTTTCTTGCATTCTTAACACCACCCACCCACCCAAAGAAAAAAAATAAGTACATGCATGCATAAGTAGTATATATCTTAATGGAAACTTGTAATTTTATATGATCCTTAACATTTGGATTTTACAATAGAACATGAAAGTCAGAGTATTATGGGAGAAAATTGATGGTACTTTTATCTCATATCTGGATGATTAATTATTTTTATAATTGTTTTTAGAATTATCTTCAAAAAAAAAATTTAGAATTTTTATATCTCAGAAACTAAAGCTGTAACTTAAGCAGATTTTGTGGTGCATATTTCTTTATGTGCTCTTTGTTTTTCAAGCAAGAGTAAAGACTTGTATTTTAGGCAAATATGATCACTTACTATATTCTTTCCCCCATTTTATCTTTGATAATTCAGATGTTAGTTCATTGTCGACATGGCTGTGTATTGATCAAGGTGCAGATTATGTAGCTTCATATGATTATTATGTGTAGAAAAAATATCTTTATAATTATAGCTGTAATTTATATCATCTACAATTTTGAGAGAGCATATGCTCTATGGTAGTTATAATTGGATGTTTCTTTCATATTTAAAATTGTTAGGATAAGGATTTTAGCATCATTACATTATTGAGACAAACTTCAAGCTTTACTGTGAGAATATGCAGGGCTTCTCTGTGGAAACTTTCAGTGACAGTTTGGTTACATTTGAGAGCGTTGTGGGTACTTTTGAGCCAAAATGAGGAAAGCTATAACTGTGGACCAACCTTCTCAGATGGATCGCTTTATTAATACATCAGCTTCTCTGATTTACATAACCAAACACATCCTAGAAAGTACATTTTACATACAATTATCATGTCAGATCTGTAGCAGTTATATTAACTGAAAATAAAAATCACTGTGATTTTTATTATTTCTGATGGGGCTGATTCAAGCTTGCATTTTTTTAAATTGATCTGCATAAAAAGATTCATTGTCATCCATGTGTGCTCAATTGATTCTTGTAGGAATTTTCCATTCAGAAGCTCCATAAAACTTGGGTGTCTTTCATTTTGAGGTGGACATGTTCATATCTTAGTAGCAGGTTTCCTATTAAGTGTCTGAAGCTGAAGATTTTTAGTTTGCTTATCGCTGGGATAGTGGTTGGCGTTGCTGTATATTACTCAGTGAAGCCTGCTTAGATTTGAACAAAGAGAGGTTAAGTGTATAATTTGGAGTTGGTCACAGGCTCTGGCATTGCATATGGCATTCATCTACTGATAATTCATGAATGAATTATTATTTTTATCTTTTCTAGTATATTGAAAGGAATTGCCAAATGGGATGTTGGAGCAAGAATTTATGGTAGATCGATATATATTGTATTGTGATGTTGATGTAAAATGTTAATTGATGCTTAGGACATCATGTGAAGAATACATTGGCTACAGGAAGAAAAACCATCTTCCATTCAATTCCTTGGTAAATCAAGTGAAGTTGGCTGATTAGCATGATCAAAAGTATGGTAGTTGGATAAAATGCTGAGTTTGATTGCTAAATCGACAATTGACTGATGAGAAGCTATTGTGGCGTACCTCAATGGTACCAATGTTGATAGATTATGTACCAAATCAAGATCAATTTCTTAATGTGTTAGGATTTATATTTTTTGTCTTTTATTTGTTTTTATGTTTGGAAGAATGTGTCGTGATTTTGTGAGATTCTTTGTATGTATCAATTCCTTTATATATTTGGGATTTTTTTTAATAAAATAATAATTAGAGCACATTGTTTTTTATCTCTAATTACAAGGTATTAGGCAAGGTTTTCTTTTGAATTTTTTTCTTTCTAATGGCTAAAACAGCCATGACTGGTGCCTGTCGACAAAGTACATTAGAGGTGATTTCTGAACTGATTCAAAATTCTTAGCCACTAGCGTCTATTGTAAGTGACTCGCATTCCGTTCTAATGAAATAATATAAACTCAATGGAACAAAATTTTTAGAGTGGTCTCGATCAGTAATGTTGGTGGTTCAAGGGAAAGAAAATTTTGATTATCTGACTGGTGCAACAAAGGAACCCAAGGAAGAAAAGCCAGGTCATTCAATACGAGTTTTTGAAAACTTCATGGTAATGTCATAGTTAATTCTATGGAGCCTAAGATTGGAACATGGTTAGTTAATTTTACGAAGCCTAAGATTGGAAGAACCTATCTTTTCTATAGAAATGCTAAAAAAATTTGAGATATGGTGAAGGAGATGTACTCAGATCTTGAAAACTCATCACAATTCTTTGGAATCAAGTTAGCCTTGAAAGATATGAAAAAAAGGGATAATTCTGTGACTAAGTACTACAACAACCTAACCAGTCTTTGGCAAGAAATGGATTCATTTTCTGATACAGACTGGCATTGTGCAAAGGACATCAAAAAGTACAAAATGATGCTTGAGAAGGAAAGGTTTTTTTATTTTCTTTATGGTCTAAATAAGGAGTTTGATGAGGTGAAAGGCAGAATACTTGGAACCAAACCTGTTCCAAGCATTAAAGAGGCTTTTGTTGAAGTAAAAAGAGAATAAAGTCGAAGAAAAGTCATGCTAGGAACCAAAGAACCCTTTACAGTAGACACCTTAAAAAACTCAGCTTTTGTTTCTAAGAAAAATGATTATTCTGGACTTGGAGATTCACGTGGTAATTATAGGAATGATAGGGCTTAGTGTGATCATTGTCAACGCCCTTATCATACAAAAGAAACTTGTTGGAAAATTCATGGGAAACCAATAAATTGGAAACCATGCAAACAAGTAGAACAAGGCCAGGGCTTTTAAGTTGCTCTAGAAGAAAATAAGGCTGAAGGCTTATGTTTTAGCAAGGACCAACTTCAGCAGCTCCAAACACTCCTCAACAATACCCAAATGACTACATCTACTTCTAAATGCACAGTTGCACAAAAAGGTAATTATCTCTCTGCTTTTGGTGCAAAATCTGATTCTAAGAACTTTTGGATTATAGATTCTAGGGCATCTGGATTACTATCCTTTGTTGCCAGAAAGGGAGACATTAAGATTTCTAATGACACTATTTTTAGTATTACATGTTCCTAATTTAGCATGTAACCTAGTGTAATGTAAGTTAACAAGTGACTTAAATTGTGTGGCTAAGTTTTATCCTTCATATTGTGAGTTTCAGGATTTACTTTTGGGGATGATGATTGGCAGTGCTAAGGAGCATGAAAGATTGTACTATGTTGAGGATACTCAACAAGTGAATAAACAAGCTTTGGCTCTAAGTGGTGAATCTATTTCTGTTTCTAATGAAATTATGTTGTGGCATAATAGGTTAGGATATCCTAATTTTTTATAGTTAAAAACTATGTTCCCTTCTCTTTGTAAGAATAAAGATGTCCATTTCTTTGGTTATGAAACTTGACAACTTGTCAAACACACTCATGTTTCTTATTCAAGTCATCCATATAGATTTTTTAAATCTTTTTCTTTAGTTCATAGTGATATTTAGGGACCTTCATGAGAAAATAGTGTAACTGAAACTAAGTGGTTCATAAACTTTATAGATGATCACACACAAGCTTGTTGGGTTTACTTGTTAAAAGACAAGTCTAATGCTAAGATAATTTTTCAGCATTTCCACAAAATGGTCCAAACTCAATTTCAAGCTCAAATCCAAAATTTTCGCACAAAAATGGGATGAAATGTTTTAATTCAATTCTTGGTGATTATCTAACAGAAAATGAGATTTTTCACCAAAGCTCTTGTTTTAATACCTCTCAACGAAATGAGGTTACAGAACATAAAAAAATCATCTATTAGAAGTAGCTTGTGCTATCATATATACCAATAATGTTCCTAAGTTTTTTTAGGGAAATGCTATTTTAATAACCTCATACTTGATAGATAGACTTTCAAGTAAAGTTCTCATTTTTAAAACACCATTGAACTTATTACTTGAGTCATATCCACAAACTAGGTTGTTTACTTCTTTATCCCCAAAAGTTTTTGGTTGCATATGTTTTGTTCACAATAAAAGTCCATTTCATGAGAAACTAGAACCTAGAGCTATAAAATGTATATTTATTGGGTACTCTCCAACTTAAAAAGGGTATAAGTGCTACTGTCCATTTACAAAATAGACATTTGTGTCATTAGATGTCACATTCTTTGAAAATCAACTATTTTACCCAAAACCAACTCTTCAAAAGGAGAGAATAGGTGAAAATAGGCTTTGAGATTTTTTTATTCCTCTTCTAGTAATATCAGCTACTCTTATTATGTCACCTACAGAAACTAAATTGGAGATAAGGAAAGATTCATCTATGTTTAACATTTAACAAAAAATAGAGCTTCATGTTTATTCAAGACATAAACCATTTTTCAACAAGTACAGACTTCTGTGCCCTAACCACATTGTAAAGAATCTAATCTATAAGTAAATCTTGAATAAAAAAATATTAGGTCTATAGCACCATCACCAGTGAACACTCCACTTAATGATCTAGACATACCTATAGTACTCAAGAAAAGTGTAAAATCATGCATCCAACACGTGCGGTCCAAATATATATCCTACAAACATTTGTCTACAGCATTTAGTGCACTGGTAGAAAAAGATTAAGGTAGCTAAAATCCCATAAAAAATTAAAGAAGCCCTAAAAATTCCAAAACAAAAAGTTACAGTACTTGAAGAGATGAGAGCATTAGAAATGAACAAGACTTAGGATGTTGTAGAGTCATTTAGAGAAAAAACATCAGTTGGATGTAAATGGGTATTTACTATTAAATACAATTTAGATGGTGGAATAAAGAGACACAAGGCTCACCTAGTTGCAAAAGGGTTTACTCAAACTTTTAGAGTAGACTACATTAAAACCTTTATTCCTATTGCTAAATTGAATACTATAGTGTACTGCTTTCACTAGTTACTAACCTTGATTGGCCATTACACCAAATGGATGCCAAGAATTCCCTTTTTAATAGAAAGCTAGTTGAAGAAGTTTATATGGATTTGCCTTCTGGGTTTGAAAGGGAAAACAATGTTAGAAAGGTATGCAAACTAAAGAAATATATATATATATATATATATATGATTTAAAACAGTCACCAAAAGCCTAGTTTGATTATTTTGCTAAGTCAGTAAGGAGACATGGATTTAATCAAAGACAAACTGATCACATTATTTTTCAAACACTCAAAACATAGCAAAAAGACTATTTTAATTATTTATGTTGATGATATTATATTGACAGGTGATGATATTAAAGAAATAAAGAGGCTAAAGAATTTGAACTTAAGGATCTTGGATAACTAAAACACTTTTTAGGAATAGAAGTTGTAAGGAGCAAGAATGGCATTATTATTTTTCAAAAGAACTATACGATTGATCTTTTGAAGGAAACTGGTATGCTTGGTTGTAAACCAACTTATACACCTTTAAATCCTAACGTGAAGCTTGGAGAAAAAGGAGGAATTTTAGTAAATAAGGGTAGATATCAATGACTAGTTAGAAAACCGATCTACTTGTCTCGTACAAGACTTGATATTGCCTTTGCAGTTAGTGTAGTAAGTTAGCACATGCACTTTCCACTTAAGGAGCATCTTGAAGTTGTGTATCAAATCTTAAGGTATTTGACGGCCACACTTGGTAAGGGTTTGTTATTTGAGAAGAATGAACAAAGAAATGTAGAAGCATTTACATATACAGAGCGGGCAGGATCAATTGAAGATAAAAGATCCACCTTTAGGTATTGTATGAAAGTTTGGGATAATTTTGTCATATGAAAAAGCAAGAAATAGTTTAGTGTTGCTTAAAATTTAAAACTCTTACACAAGGAATTTATGAACTTATCTGGCTGAAGAGACTTTTGGAATAATTTAAAATAATAATTGAATATCTTATGAAATTAAATTGTGATCCAGTGCACCATGATCGAACAAAACATATGAAAGTTGATAGGCATTTTATCAAAGAAAAGATTGATATAGGAGTGATTTGTATGACCTATGTCCTTACAAAGCAACAAGTAGCAAATATCCTAACAAAAAGACTGCATAAACCAAGCTTTGAGACACTTGTTGATAAACTGATAATGGTAAATATTTGTTCTCCAGTTTAAGGGGGAGTATTGACAAATTATGTATCAAATCATGATTGATTTCTTGATTTGTTGGGATTTATATTTCTAGTCTTTTATTTGTTTTTATATTTGGATGATTATGTCCTAATTTTGTGAGATTCTTTGTACATATCAATTGTTCTATATATTTGGAGATTTTTTTATAATAAAATAACAGTCAAAGAACATTGTTTTTTGTCTTTGATTACAACCAAAGATGGCATTCATGTTTTTAAGTAGAGGAACACTACCTTTGGCTTTGGCACTACTTTATAAAATGTTCTTTGTGGAACATAAAGGCTTTCTTTACTCTATTTACTCTAGAATTCATTACCATTAACCTCATTCTTTTATAAGCAAGGTTAGAAATATATATAATATATATAATGAATATTGTAACGTTAGGTGATGAATTCAATTATTTTAACAGCCTGTCCATTAGGGAAGTGCAACAATGAATTCAATTCTTTTTGTTTGCCAAGGCGTTGCTTGACTGCTCCAGTGAATGGTTTGTGATAGTCAACTTCAACTATTCAACTTCATCACAATTTACAACTACCTTATTAACTTTGCATTTTCATATTTTTCTTTCCTTTTTGTCATTTCTTCCCCCATTTTCTTTTCCTCTATTTTGTTTTCTAAAAAACTAATTGTATGCTTAATAAATTTGTGATCGTCTTATCTTAATCACATCCTTTAAGAAGGAATGTAATTGTAGTTTTATTTCCTTTTCTTTCCCTTTCTTTTCCTCAAGCTTTCCTTTTCTATCTCTTTTTTTTTTACTTCTAAACAAAAAATTTATTATAATATTGATTTTAATATTGGGTAAATTTCATTCAAATACTTGAATTTTAAGTATAATTCAACACAATTTAATTAGTTTGAAACATAGACTTTTGGCCCTAACTTTTAATTAAATGACAATGAAGTCCTACACTTAATTATCCATTTGTTATTTTGTTAATGGCCTCATTTAATGACTATTTTACTCTTAAAAAATTAATATTCTTAAAATACTCACATGAAATAATATTTTATAATAATAAATTATTTTTTTCT